ATGCCAATCAAACAAAAGTTAGACAAGGTCATTTTGTTATATAGTGCAGTTCATTCATTTACTCTTTGAATAAACATTTATTATGTGCCATCACATGACTGTAAATACACAGAGATGAAAAAGACCAAGAGACCATTCTAGTGGGAGAAGACAAAATAAACAAATAGATAAAATAACTTCAAAGAGTAATAAGTCCTATGAAAGAAAAAACTGATGAAATGTTATTGGGGAAAAGTTTCAAAGATTTATAAATATACACAAATAAACATATCAAAGGAAATCTAATACCTAGGAAACTACATAAGATATTTAAATTTATTTAGAATAAACATTTATACAGTTTTACAGACTAGGTTATAAAAAATTAATTTTACTTTTTAAAAAAGATTTATTTATTCATTTGAGAGAGAGAGAGAAAGCACATGCTCATGAGCATGCACGGGGTGGGGGGTGGTGGTAGAGGGGCAGGGAGAGAATCTCCAGCAGACTCCCCACTGAGTGTGGAAACCAATGAGGGGCTCAATCTCAGCACCCTGAGATCATGACCTGAGCCAAAATCAAAAGTCGGATGCTCAACCAACTGAAACACCAGGAGCCCCAATAATTTCACTTTTTAAATATAATTCTTAAATTTTTCATTAAAAGCAAACCAAAAAAATCCTATTATGAAGTCTGGGAGACATATAGTATTCAATATCACATAAATAATCTGAAAATTAAGATAAGGTAAAAAATACAAACATTTAGAGAATAAATGAAACATTGATAAAATTAACAAACAAATAAAACAAATAAAATACTATTACTGTTTTGTCAACTGTGAAGTATAATGCATTTTATTTTGGCTTTATAGCTTTTTCTTTACTCTCCCCTCCGCCCCCCCCCCCCCCCCCAGTTTCAGGTCTTATTATTACAATGATTAATAATACCCATGGTTCAAAAAAGCTTTATAGTTAGTCTTATCTGACATGGCACTGAAGATTTACTTAGTGATATGGAAATTTGTTTGTTTTCATCAGTTGCAGTTTATCAATATATTATTTCTAGCTTATGAAAACAAAATACGGTAATAGCTATAAAACTTTTGCTACTGAAATACCTCCAGGAAGAAAATAATTTTGCCATTCCAACTCTAAAACTCTCTAGCTCCTAACTGCTTTCACCACTGAAATAGCCTTATGTTTTTAAACGTAATTTTTTTAAAAGATTTTATTTATTTGAGAGAGAGAGTGAGAGTGAGCAAGCAAGCATACTAACAGGGGAGGGGCAGAAGGAGAGGGAGAAGTAGACTCCCAGCTGAGCAGGGAGCCCAACACGGGGCTCCATCCAAGCCAAAGGAAGACGCTTCACTGACTGAGCCACCCAGGTGCCCCTAAATCACTATTTATGAACAATGCAGCTACTCTTTTATAGAAGAATGGATTGGAATAATATTTTTGTCTTTCCCCTTCCATCATTTCTTATCTGATTTTACTATGCCAGAATCAATTAAAGTAATATTGTAAAGGGGGTAATAGTAAAATCTAAGAATGGTTTTCAAATATTCTTAAGTGTTTCAGAAGAAGCAGTTTACAAAAAAGTAACTAATACGCTCATGTGCTCCAAAGCAAATTCTCTAAGGATCTGTAGGATAAAATGTTTTGTTGCAAAACACTATCATTATATTTTATATAACATCTGCTACTCAGATTCTTTGCACACTTATCTTCTAAATGTCTTTCAAATTCATCCACTAATTTAGCCAACATCATCTTTCTCTGGAATTATTACAATAGCTCCCTCATCCAGTTTTCTGGATTACTTCAGGAAACCAAGACTGTTGTCTCGATACTCTTTCCAAAGGTCAAAGCTAAATTTGTGATACAGAAATATCTGTAATTCTTTATGCATTAAGTAACATTATATAGTGGCATAACTGAAGAAAATTCGTAACTGAAGAAAATGGCAAATTACAGGTTAATAAAAAAGAAAGTAATCTTTTTCTATTTAAGTTCACAGACCCCCTGAATTCTATGTCTGGATCATTTGGGGTATAGGAGGGTTAAGAGCCCCTACAATGTTCCCCTGTTATCCTCAAGATAAAAATTTCTGTCATATGGCTTAAGGGACACTTTTTTTTTTTTAAGATTTATTTATTTATTTGACAGAGAGACACACAGCGAGAGAGGGAACACAAATAGGGGGAGTGGGAGAGGGAGAAGCAGGCTTCCTGCCGAGCAGGGAGCCCGATGCAGGGCTCGATCCCAGGATCCTGGGACCATGATCTGAGCCGAAGGCAGACGCTTAACGACTGAGCCACCCACATGCCCCTCAAGGGGCACTTCTTGATGATTCTTTGCCACCACTCATCCCCAGTTTTGAACCTCATCTTCTGCAGCTCACACTCTACTGAGTCAAACTCTTATCTTCAGAACTCTGCAATCTTTGTTTGTAATATTCTTCCCATTCCTTTGCCCAGCAAACTCCCAATCATCCTATAGGTGTCTATTTACGTATCATTACTTCAGGAAACCAAGACTGTTAGGTGCTCTTCCACTGTGTTCCCATAGCACCCAGAACTTACCCCTATCACAGCATTTACCAACCTGTATTAAAATTGCCCTCCCCCCCCCAAAAAAAAATAAAATTGCCCTCCCCCATTAAACCATAAGCATTTGAACTGTATTTCGAATCTCCACTCCTTGCATACTGTCTGGCAGAGAGTAGGCACTTCAATAACTGTGGAGGGAGGGAAAGAAAGAAGGGAAACTCCAATTTATTTGCTGTTTTATGACCTTGATTTCTATTCTTAGTTTCTGATTGATCCTCACAAATGCAAGCTGTTGGTCACAACGGGAACTATGAAAGTGTAGGATTCAATGATCATAAATTCCCCATTTTTACTGGAAAACTTACCTGGTGTGATGACTGAAAATGAAGGTCATTATTACTATTATTAAAAACCTGTAACAGGAAGATTCTACCACCTTGCAATACTAAGTAAAATAACTATACTAATATATAAACCTGTATCAAGAGATGGTATGTATCCGTCAGTGATTCTCAACTATGCACACATGACTTCAAAGTGGTGGTTGTGGTAGAGGGATTAACAGGCCTCCTTTTAGGGAAGTATTACCAGAATCACCGAGGTGGAGGGAGAGTTTTCAAACTATATGCCCCTCAATGCTTGCTGTACTGAGCCACTGCTGCTGAGAGGAATGTGTGGTCATCTTCAAGTCTACTATGGTGGTAGAAGGATGAGAACCACTATTCTGAATTGGTCCAACAGCAAATGCTGTGTCAAAAGACTTTGTTAAAAAAATGGTAATAAAATGGGGGGCGCCTGGGTAGCTCAGTCAGTTAAGCTATCCACTAGTGATTTGCCTCACGTCCGGATCTCAGGGTTGTGAGACTGAGCCCAGGGCTCCTCGCTGGGTGTGGAGCCTGCTTAGGATTCTCTCTCTCCCCTCCACCCAGCTCAGATATGCTTGCTCTCTCTCAAAAAACAAACAAACAAAAAAACACCCCCCCCACCACCAAAAAAACAATGGATAATAAAATGGTTTCTAGGCCAAAAGTACCACAGGTTGGGGGAGGGGAGAGAGCTGGAAAGAATTCAAATATACTGGTGTAAAGTTTTTAATGTCACGTCAGGAATTTAAAACACAAGTAGGCTAGAAGTGGGCCAGAAAAAACGAGACAGATTAACTGAAATCAGAATCTACAAATTGCTGAGGGGATAAAACTGAAGTCATGTTCTGGGTGAATCACTTTGACTGGAAGGTATATATGAGTAGTGACAGGTTGGAGTGTTACTACAAAAGGCTCTGAGTGACAAAATTTTTAAATGTGGATTTTATCCTAGGCCGAGTGAGGCACTAATGGTTTCTAAAGAAGGGTACATTATGTGATATACTTGGGATGATTAGCCAAAGGGTCCTAAACAGGATGAATTAAGAGGCTGAGAGAAGAGAGAAACCAATGATGAATAACTTGAATCCTTGGCACCAGAAGAACAAAAATCCTATAAAATACCACAAGACAGATCCTTCTCCTATGATCAGAAATGGTAAGAGGATGGGAAAGAGTTATTACCTGTATTATCTATGTGGCACCTTAATTTAATACAAGTAAATATATAATTTGTCAATGCTTAACTTTAATTCTCAAGGCCTGTTTTCCTCTCTTTCATTGTATCTGATTGTTCCTTGGGTTTTTCATTAGAAAGGTATAATGTAAACCTAACAAACAGAATAATGCTTTTAATTTTCAAAACAATGCACACACTAAAACTTGTTAAAATGAAAAGTGCATAAAATATCTAAAAAGTAGTACTCTTTCAAATTTTCAAATACTTTACTTGACAATTTTATATCTAATTGGGGAACTTTTACCTTTAGTACACGGAAGTTTTAAAAGAAACGTGTTTCGTATAGTGCTTATAGTCCACTGAAGCATTAAGGTTTATAATCATGTTCCTTACAGTTGATCATAAAAATCTGGAAATTATCACCCGGCTAATTTTTATGATTGACATTTTTATGATAAAAAAAGTCATCTATTAGGACAACTTCATCATACCATACAAAGAACCAGTCGTAAAGGCTTTAGTTATAAAGGTTAACAAAGGTACGTCCGGGTGGGGAAACTGGACACACACGAATTATATATCTGAGAACCACCCCCCCAAACCGTGTAGCGAGAAATCCGCAAATTAAGAGTCTTGAATTAAGACACGCCCACATCCATCGCCGCAAATCTGCTGTCGTGGGCTTCGTGTGTTCGGCTTTCGCGGGATTTTCCCGGCGAAGGCTCAATCTCCTGCACTGGCCTCGAATGCCCTTGGGGAGCGCGGTGGGGTCCGAGTCGAGGAAGAAGCACTTACCACCTGTCCAAGGTCTTCCGCAGCGGTGCCCCTACCTGGACTCGGGAAGAGGAGCTGGGACCGCCCGCTCCACCACCGGGAGTCTGAGGACGGAGGAGCTTGCTTAGCCTGGCAAAAAGGACAGGTTCCGTACCTGTGCTAAGACGGTGAGGCTGCCCTCGGGTGCCACGACATTCATGCGGCCATGGTACCATGCCACTCCTGTGCCTGCCAGGGCCACACCGGCCACTGCCACGGTCGAGGGGCCAGGGCCGGGCCAAGCTCGCCGGCCGGCAGCGATCCCACGCCGCAGTCTTCCGCCCCAGCCCGCCAGCCAAGCGCCTCTTGCCGCCGCGGCCGCCATCTTTGCGGAAGCGCCCCATCACACAGTCCGGCGCAGTCCACCCCAGAACGCAGGACTCGAGAACTCCCGCGCAGCCGTGTATCTCGCGAGATCCGGACGCCCTCCGCCCGGCCCCTCGGCCCTGCGTTCCGTGGTGGCTGCACCCGCAAATCTCGGAGCCTCGGGAGGAGAATTTCTTCAGGGAGGCCGGGTGACTGGGAAGCGGTCGGAACAGAACCCAAAGTGGCCTCCCCAGTCGAAGATGAGATAGTTACCGTATTGTGTAGGAAGGTCCTACCTTTTTCGTAAGGAAAGTGTGTCATTCCCTAGGGGGAAGCCAGTATAAGTGGGCGCTGCGGGCTCGAGGGGCAAGCACGAATGGGGGGGCTAGGCTTCGGACAATAGTTGTGATAAATTGTGTAGCTTGCTTTTCTGATGGACATGATCTTAAGAGTGGAATCCCATCCCTGAAGAAGTTGGGGCGTGGAACTGAAAAATCTGCATATTCCTGAAAACTACATCTGCTCTAAATTCCACAAGCCTACGCATGTTAAGAATTTCTTAAAATTATTTATATCATGGTATTCTGAAGTCCTCAGAAGCTGCAAATACTTTTCCCACAGGCCATTTAAAATAACATCAATTAGCTCGCCCCGCTTCTAGTAAACAAAAACTTTTAAAAATGTTTTTAGAAATATGTGCGTGTTCTACTTATCTTACTTTAAATAACTAAGCAAAATTTAAATTTATTTTTTAATTGTGGTAAAATACACACAATACCGCCATCTTAACCATTTTTAAGTATACAGTTCAGCGGTGTTAGAGATACTCATGTTTTTGGGCAACCATCACTACCGTCCATCTCCAGAACTTTTTCATCTTGCAAAACTGGCAAACTTAAAAAAAAAAAATAGTGTCTTCCCCATCTGTCTTGTTCATTCTTCCTATTCTTATATTCTTGACTGCTCTTTCAATTTTGCTAAATCATATCCTATCCCAGCCTTCTAACTTTGATGAAGTATTTTCTAATGAACTCCGGAACAAAGTCACCCTATTTCAGGCAATCACTATTTGCTGAATATTGAATTTAAACTCTGTTCTAGTAAAGTGTTATCTATTATCCCATCTGGGACCAAGCCAGATGCAGCAGAACACCTACCCCAAGTCACTGTTGTCAGTGTTTTCCCTTCTGCAGGCTTAGAATAGTACCTCAGTCCTGGTTGTTCCATTGGTCATAAGAAATGATTTAGCTGAGGCACATGCCTTTAGCAGAGACCTTTGTTTTGCAGCCTCTGATCCTCCATTCTTTGGTCTTTACTTTTCAGAGTGCATTTACTTTAATAAACTGTGTTCAGCCTCTGAAATGAAGCTTTACTTGGACATGCAGTAACTTACAGCTAAAAATTAGGTGCCAGGATCTTGATCACATGATCACTGCCATGTTGAAGTTTGTAAAACAAACAAAACCAAAACCAAAAACAAGTGCCACACTAAATCTAATTTGACCACTTAATTCCTGGATCATTTCGTCACGATCTGCCCTTAGTTCTTGCTTCCTTTTTCTTAGCCAACTTGTCTAAATCTGCAGTCAGATCTTCCTCACTTTTCCCCCAGTTGCTGAAAGCACTTTCGATGTGCTTTTCCAGGCAAGAAGTAAGTAGATGAGACTCATTGTACACATTTGTGAGCCAGACCACAGGGTTGGAATCCTGTCTGTAGTAGGATGATCGCTGTGATTTGGGGTAAATTAGTTTATCTCTCTGAGTCTCAGTTTTCTCAACTGTAAACAACTCTGTCATGGTTTGGGGTTGGGGGATTAAGTGAGATATTCTGTAGAAAGTGACTAGCCAAATGCCTGGCACATTGTAGACTCACCACAGATGTCATTTTTACCTTCTTCCAGTTTTGGCTTACTCCCGCCCTCAGATCACAAATGAGGTTGACCGAGACCTTATCTTCTGCTTATCTTGTAGTATAGTCTTGATTTCCAGAAACCATAGTTAAAATGGTAGTGTTAGGTATATACATACTGTCTAATTCACCCAGCTCCTCTACCCATTTAATGAAACCCCACATCTATTAGTCATGGTGCATATTCCCATTAGAGCATTTGGCATATTTAAAAACATTGTATTTATCCCACAGTTTGACATCCTTTTGGGAAAGGCTGTCTTATTTTGGCCTGGCACAATGCCTAGCACATATTAGACATTCAATGAGTGAATGTATGAATAAGTAAAAAAAAAAAAAAATAGATGGCACAAATGAAACTCGTGTGCCTATTTCCATTCTTTGAGTATCAAACGTACAGAAATATATATAGTTAATTTTTAAGATAAAAACCTCATTTTAAATTATTCTGCTGAAAATCTTTGAATGTACTTGGAAAACTGTGCTTTGTAATTAGGGTTTTGGTTTTGGTTTTGGTTTTTGGTTTTTTTTTTCATTATGTGCCCAGGCCTGTAGAACTCTCATTAAGATTTAATGTATTCAAACTTTTCTTTTGCAGAGGAAACAAATTCTTATAATAGAACCAATCTCTAGCCGACTAACCATTCTAAGTATGAAATCTTCCCTGGCAGCTGCTGACATTTGTCTAAGTGCATTGACTATAATGGTCTTTTTAGGCTCCAGCTTTGTTCATTTCTTCATCATCAGCTGTAGAGAAAAATATACATCCTTGGCTGGGATGTATATTCAACTATGTAGTTTATAAACCAATTCCCAAATAAGGAACTGCTTCTAAAACTGTAAGATCTATGCTGTTTTAAATGATAATTGGAGAAAAACAGAATAGAAACACTGGTAGTTCCCAAATATCATCCTTAATTCCCTTACTCTGCTCCTTTTCTGTAGGAGGGACATAAGTTATATGACAGAAAAAATGTTCTCAAGGGATTTCACATTTCCTGGAGGCCAGACCTAAGTTCAAAACAATGCAAGATGGCATTTAACTGTTACACAGAGGAGGAGAAGTGTGGTTGACTAGAGCAGTCAGAAGGGCAACTAGGGAAGAGAGAAGACTTGATCTGGAACTTGGAAAGTGAGAAAGGTTTTTATAGGTAGGATCCTCAAATGGTGAAGGAACAGTATGGTTGAGAGCATAAGAGAAAACTAGGTACGGTGTGTGTTTGCATGGTTTGGAGCAGAACTGTTTAGGTCTGGGCTTGAGTGGCTTCAGGGCCACAAGGGGATCATGCAGTATTTCCACCAACATGTGGAACAACTGTCAGCTCTCTTGACCCTCTACACATGTTTGTCTTTTGGGGTATTTATGCCTCTTTTCCGGTATCCCCACGTACCCCACCCTGATCTCCTTTGCATGTCAGACACTCTCTACCCAGTGATTGCCTTCTGCCTGTCCAGATTTTATCCTGGCCTTTCTTACCCATTATCCCCTGGGTGTTTCTAAATTATTTTCTTTCCTACCTACAAGCAAAAGTTTGATTTTTTCAGGGTTGTTGGTCTTGAACAAAAGAGATCAACTAGCTTTTCTTTTTGAAAACATTTATTATATGTCTATTTCAAAAGATGAAGTTAACTCAAATGAATCTTTGATCTTAGCATGTTTAGGGAAGATAAATAAAACTTGCTATCCTGATTCTGAAAGATTCCTTACTGTTGCATTAAAGAATAATGTGAAGATTGATTATCTTAGATGGAGGAGAAAAAAATATGGAGGTTCTCAAAAGATAAAGAGGCTGGACTCAATCCTATAGCAATAGAGCAAGCGGCATACAGATGGACATTATAAAGAACCATTGCTTGGAATAGACAGAGGTTAAACTATATTTATGGTAGATAATTGTGTAGCGAAGGGTATGAATCACTCTCAGAGGCCCTAGATGAGTCAAAGAATTGCTAATTATGCCTTTTTTGTGCAGTTTGGGGCCATGGGTAAAAATATCTGGGTATCATGATTGATACCAGCTTGTGTAGAAATAGGTCAAGATTAAATCTTACTGACAGTGAAAAAGCAGTGCCAAGGGTTGCATTTTCAATGTCTTTCAGATCCTCCTCTGCTTCTCATTCCCTTCCCATCATCCCAGTTTACACTCTCATTACTGCATGCTTTGATGATTGCAATCGTCTCTTAACACGTACTGTTGCTTCTAGTCTTTTTCTCCTCTGAAGCATCCCATAGATCTATGTCAGATCAATCTTCCTAAAACATTTCTTTCACCATACTTCCATTAGCTGTGTGATTTAACCTTCCTAAACCTGTCTCCTTGTTGGAAAAGGAGGAGTTTGGTTTCAGTTTATTTTTCTACTTCTAAAATTCTCATTCTATGCCACTCAAAGTGGCCTTTTTTTTTTTTTTTTTAAATTCAGCAAACTGTATTGAGTGTGAAATATGTGCCAAGCTTACTGCCATAACTTAGAGATGCAAAGACAAAGAAGTAACAGCTCCCCCTGTGGTGTTTTGTCATGGGCAGGGGTCTCCACACATTGGAGTGTGGCCCCCATGCTTAAAGCTTTTTAAAGCATGTTGCCCCCATTTATGTACGTTTATTTATTTCTTAAACCTACACATTTACAACTAAATGATAAAAGACCCATAGTAAAAATTTTAATGATGATAAAAATTAAATAGTATTTATAAAATAAAATTTTAATTTTGTTAAAATTAAATGTTTTGCTTTCTCTAAAAATGTTTATAATATCTAGTGAGATCATTGTGATTAAATTGGCTTTATTAAATTGGATAATTTTGGTTTAAGTTTTGTGAGATAGAAATACAAAGGTCTGGCATTATGTTTGGTTAATTTAGACATTAGTTTTTAATGACTATAAAAACTCAAAAAGATATCTAATAAAAATATATTAATTCAAAGGAAGGGACTGGGTGTGTTATTAACTGAAATAATGAAATCATGATATTTTTGTCTTTTTAAGCTTTTTATTCTGAAAAACTTAAAAGACATACAAAATTGGAGAGAATAAAATGATGACCTTCCATGTACATCTAACCTGACTTGAACAGTTACCAGCTCATGACCCATCTTGTTTCATCTATAGCTCCCCCATTTCCCTAACAAGATTAGGTTGAAGTAATTCTCAAGTTC